GGGCAGTTCCACTCTGTCCTCTAGCAGCGCTGTGAGTCAGAATCGACTGCAGTGCATTTGGTTTTTTGGTGGTTGGCAATATCATCATTATTGTCATGCCATCGGCTGACTCCTTAGTTCCCCACGCTGAGCCAGGAGCTAGCTCAGTCTTTGTGCCTCAACTTGACATAAAAGCACCAACCTCAAACAAAGCCCACAGTCTGTCCTGTCTGAATGTGGCAGCATCCTGCCCTCCCTGCAGATCTGTTTTGAGTAACAGTGAATAGGCAGGAAAATCACCTTTTGATGTTTTAGGTCCATCCTGGGAGGTGGCCGCCTGAGGAATTTGTTGTTGTTCTTGTTTTTCAACGGAGGGGAAGGAACTTGATAAAAATGCTTCCTGCCGGAGGCTGCTGAGTGGTGTAAGTTGCCACAGAGAGACGCAGCTGGTTTCATCACTGCATCCTGGAAAGTGACTGCAGCCTTGCAGCAGGCGTGCGCTGCGGAAGCCAGCAGCGGTCGCCCTGGGCCGTGAGTGACCTCGCCAGCTCACCTGCATACGAACTCCCACTGGCAACTATGTAGACTCATCAGCATTTGCAGTTACCGACACTGTGGGGCTTTATTTCTTAAAAATGAAGTGGAAATAACAGAGGGCTGGGGCGGGGAAGATGTGTGGGGGGAACAGACCAGCTCAGGGAGGTTTGCCAGTGTCTTGGACCCCAATGAAGAGGGCAAAGCCCACATTTCTCCTTGAGGACAAGAAGTGAATTAAACAGTTACCATGTGGTTGACTCTGACTCCTGGCACACCCATGTATGTGGGAGCATAACAGCGCTGTGTGGGGTTTGGTTTTTCAGAAGTAGATGTCAGGCCATTCTTCCAGGGAACCTGTAGGGGGACTTGAACCCCCAACCTTTTGGTCAGCAGCCAAGCACATTAACCATTTGTACCACCCACTCCACCTTGAGGGCAGCAGGGATCTAGATGAGGATGGCAGGATCTGGTTTGCGTTCTGGAGTTGTCACCCAGATGCCAAGTCCAGGAGGGCGTCAGTGGGTGGCCTGAGTGGAAATAGCGGGAGTGGGGATTGAGCAAAGTTAGTAGATAGAGGGATACTCAAACCCATAGCTGTTGAGTCAATCCCAACTCACAGCGCCCCTAGAGGACAGAGTGGAACTGCCCCACAGGGTTTCCAAGGCTGTCAATCTTTACAGAAGCAAAGCCCAAACCACACCTACTGCCATGGAGTCGATTCTGAGTCACAGCGCCCCTAGAGGACAGAGTGGAACTGCCCCATGGGGTTTCCAAGGCTGTCAGTCTTCACAGAAGCAAAGCCCAAACCACACCCACTGCCATGGAGTCTATTCTGACCCACAGCGCCCCTAGAGGACAGAGTGGAACTGCCTCACAGGGTTTCCAAGGCTGTCAGTCTTCACAGAAGCAAAGCCCAAAC